TATTGCTGGTAGTAACTGATCAGAACCTCCCGAGCATTTGAAGAGTGACCAACGTTGTCCAACGCTATCGCCGCAGAGGACATCATTGATGAGTTTCACAATACATGCATCGAAGTGAACCTGCTATGGCCTAAGGTAACCATCGCCAAGCGCTTCAACTACTAAACTGAATTACTACCCCTAACTGTTGAACATTATGATTAACGTCCACTCACTCACTCACTCACTCACTCACTCACTCACTCACTCACTCACTCACTCACTCACTCACTCACTCACCCACCCACCACTCACTCACTCACTCACTCACTCACTCACTAACTCACTCGCTCACTCACTCACTCACTCACTTACGCACTCACTCACTCACTCACTCACTCACGTCAGCGCTCACCTGTACACCTGAATTGTTGATGGAGCCAAATATTTTATCCTTTCCACTATCCACGGAGAACTGGACTCCTCGCATCTCCACACTGGTGCCGAATCCAAATAGCGTTTCACTGTCTAACGTCACCCCAACGTGACATCCGGTGCGTGTTGTGACGTCAGTGAGGTAATACTCGCATGGCAGTAGGAGCTGGCATTCCACGTTGTCATAGTTACGGACTGTGCTCTCATCACTGACGTAACACTGGCAGTAATCTAAACAGAGTTGGTGATATTTTCAAACAGGTCAGGGGAAATAGGAGTAAACGGGTATTGTTTAAAGAATACCTCCTCGTAGGAGCGTAACTGACAAAAAGGCAAAAATGAAGTTGCCTATCCATAATCCTTTAAAAGAAAAAATATTCCGCTTTGAAAATTTGAATAGTGGTAAACATATCTATGTAAATAGAAAGTGAGTAAGTTGGGTTTTTCGCCTCTTTCAGCAACATTCCAGCAACATCACGGCGGGGGACACCAGAAATGGGCTTCACACATTGTACCCATTTGAGGAATTGAACCCGGGCCTCCTGCGTGACGAGCAAACGCTTTAACCACTAGGCTACCCCACCGCCCCTTTCTCATTTAAGACGTTGATGATTCCAGTAAAGAGCTAAATTATGGAAGGCACTTCTTGTACATTATAAAGGGATGTTTCGAAGCTATTCTTTCTGGTTCATTTCTAGCTACAATGGGTGACTGTATACTGTCGTTTTGTTCTACAGGTAAGAGAACATACATTGACATGTACCCACATTGCTCTGTAGGTAATAGAACATACAATGACATATACCCAAATTGTTCTACAGGTAATAGAACACACATTTAAATGTACCTACATTGCTCTACAGGTACTAGGACATACACTGACATATCCCCTCATTGCTCTACAGGCAATAGAACATGCATTGACATATACCCACATTGTTCTACAGGTAATAGAACATACATTGACATATACCCCGCATTGCTCTACAGGTAATAGAACATACATTGACATATACCCACATTGCTCTACAGGTAATAGAACATACATTGACATATACCCCGCATTGCTCTACAGGTAATAGAACATACATTGACATATACCCAGATTGCTCTACATGTACTAGAACATACACTGACATATACCCGCATTGCTGTACAGGTAATAGAACATACATAGGCATATACCCACTTTGTTCTTCATTTAATAGAACATACATTGATATATATCCACATTGCTCTACAGGTAATAGAACATACATAGGCATATACCCACTTTGTTCTTCATTTAATAGAACATACATTGATATATATCCACATTGCTCTACAGGTAATAGAACACACATTGACATATACCCACTTTGTTCTACATTTAATAGAACATACATTGACATATATCCACATTGCTCTACAGGTAATAGAACATACATTGACATATACACACATTGCTCTACAGGTAATAGAACATACATAGGCATATACCTACTTTTGCTCTATAAGTAATAGACCATACATTGACATATACCCAGATTGCTCTACAGGTAATATATCATACATTGACATATATCCACATTGTTCTACAGGTAATATAACATACATTGACATATACCCTCATTGCTCTACAGGTAATATATCATACATTGACATATATCCACATTGCTCTACAGGTAACCGAACAAACATTGACATATACCTACTTTTTGCTCCACGAGTAATATAACATACATTGACATATACCAACATTGTTCTTCAGGTAATATAACATACATTGACATATACCTATTTTCGCCCTGCAGGTAATAGAACATACAGTGACATATGCACTCTTCAAAAAAGAAACGCATATCAGTTTTCAGCAGTTCATTTCGACATATTTAACAGCGATCGTCATTTAGACAATTCCTACTGTATACCTACTTTGTGTGACGACTCCTGACAAACGTACACCCAAGACGAATACTAGCGCCAATCTCGACATGTCTCCGCTCCAGCCTCACAGGAAATAATGAACCGATGCATTAGTCTCACCGCAATATACTTTAATATAAGCGGAAGTATGTATTCGTCGTGACAGGTTTAACCTTGCAAGAGTCTTAAAAACAATACACAACGTTTCTCAATAAGCCAAGGCTATACAAATTTCATAAATATTTCATACTTTGAAATGGAAATTCATTAACCTTCACACGCGATACGCGGTGGCCAAATCTGTACAGATTTCACAGTAAACCGCGTGGTGCGGTGTTTATTAGCATCACCCCAGGTGATTGCCTCTGTACCACAGGACCAAGCAGGTTTAATGGATGTATTGACAATTCAGTCACCGTTGTTTCCTGTTTGGCTAGTGTATATGGTCGCCTGTGGTGATACCGTCGTTGATGACATGGATTATGGTACTTGGTGGATTACTGCAAGGGATGATCCTTAAATGCCCCGTAGTGGTTTACTGAGCGTGTGGGTATATAGACCTCAGGTTTCTGAGCGTTAGGGTTAAATATGAGGATGTGATAGTTCATGGTCTTTCGGTACCCCACAGGGTACCCCACAGCTGTTGTTAGAATCAAGACGGTGAGGGGAAGGGGTTGAGGGGAAAGCGTTCGCTCGTCAGGCCGAATACCCGGGTTCGATTCCTTATAATTCCGGTGTTCCATGCCGTGTTATTGCTGGAATATTGCTAAAAGCGGCGTAAAACTAGACATGATCAGATTGTTCATTTCACGATCAGTGGAATCGAGTCACTCGGTATTATTTCGATAATGTGTCTGATTTATTTTGTAAGCATCGATGGTTCAATCTTAACTCCATCCTAGCCTGACCTAGCGCAAGGCTGGGTAAGACTGGATAGTTCATTTTTAATTATGACATTTAAAATGATTTCGAAATGTTCCACTTTTCATTGGCAGAACGACATGCCAGTTTGACTAAGGACCCTAGGAATCTCATTTGATATATATTATATGTGTATTGTATAAAGAGTATTTCCATAATCCAAGAAATTTCTACAAAAGCCAAATCCAAAGTGCGATTTGAACACGTTTTGTCGGTTAGTTTTAAACAGGGATGATATCAGCTGTAAGACACTTTCACACATCTGTTTAAAGTGAGTGAGTGAGTATGGTTTTACGCCGCCTTTAGCAATATTCCACCAATATCACGGTGGACGAAACCAGAAATGGGCTTCACATATTGTACCCATGTGGGGAATCGAACCCGGGTCTTCGGCGTCACGGGCGAACTCTTTAACCACTAGGCTACTCAACCGCCCCTACGTCCTTAAAGGATTTACAATCAGTATATATCACCACGCACATATCGGGTATAGGTGAAGTGAGTAAGATGGGTCTAACGCCGCATCGAACAGTAGTGGGGCGATGGGGTAGCCTAATGGTTGAAGTGTTCGCTCGTCACTCTGAAGCTCCCGGTTCAATTCTGAGTGAGTTTAGTTTTACGCCGCTTTTAGCAATATTCCAGCAATATCACAGCGAGGGACACCAGACATGGGCTTCACACATTGTAGCCATGTGGGGAATCGAACCCGAGTCTTCAGCATGACGCTTTAACCACTGGGCGCTTTAACCACGCTACCTCACTGCCCCGTTTTCCGGGAACTCTAAATCCTCAGCAAAGTATTCTTGTTGGGAGAGGCGACCAAATAAATCGGATGGCAACGCTCGGCGAATTTGTTGATGAATAATGTTAATTGTCTGTATGCCGTGTTAATCAACACACAAACACAAACAAACAAAATTTAAAAAATAAGTTGTACCGTTTCTGACTTTATTCACACGTCACACCTCATGGTCCAAACATCAATAATAACGTAAATATCAATCATAATGTACAAAATAAACATGACGACCTTTTCATTACCCCAATTAATAGGGCTGCGCAATATAACCGGTTTACCGGTATTTACCGGTTCAGACATGAAAACGATACGTATTGCGATACGCTGATCGAAAACCGCTATTTTGACATGCAATCGGAAAACTTCGTAACACTCGGACATGTTCGGATATTTCCGTTTTTAAATTGTTCCTTTCCTTAAATGTTTCATTTGTGCCAAACATTATTTACAATTTCATCTTGTATGATTAAAAGTTTTTAGTAATGCCTAATCAAGCATTGTGATTTTGTTGTGTTTTTGCTTTATAAATCAAGCATTAACTCGACTATAAGTAGTTTTTTTGTTAAAAAATAACTTCTTGCAATATATTGCAATACGTATCGCAATATATATCCACCCCTACCAATTAACATATTGTAGTTAATGTTGCACATACCGTTGATCCCAAAGTAACACCCAGATGAGATTAACAGATCCTTCTAATCCAAATCAAACCGCTACTAATACTCTCTCCTTCAGTTGGTGGGTGGGGACGGGGTAAGGGCGTTATTTCTAGTTTTTTTGTTTTTTGTTGTTTTTCACTTTTGTATATTTTGTATTTTGTATTGGTGTGTGTGTGTGTGGTTTTTTGCTTTGTTCTGTTTTGCTTGTCTTTTTTTGTTGTCTTTTCTTTTTTGTTCTTTTGTTTTTGTTTGTTTTTGGGGGATGGGGTGGGAGGGTGGGGCTAGTAGGTGGTTGTCAAGTAGAAAAGTTCAGCTTTGAAAGTTCATTATATCGCTTTAAATCTCATACCCATATTATTTCAGGTTCATATTTTGAATTTATAATAATTCAAATTTATTCCCAATAATCAAAGTTCTGGTCTAGCCAATACCTATTATATGAAGCGTTAAAAGCGAATGTCGGTTGTACTAAAATATATGCCCCTTGCGCTGCGTCTTATCCGTAGCTGCGATATCGGTAGGGCAGACATATCCAAACATTTTTAAATGGTTAAAAATGACGTCGATAATGTCCTTCAGTATTCGTCATATCCGTATTTGTGATTTAAGGCGGGCAGACATATCCAAACATTTTTAAATGGTTAAAAAGGACGTCGATAATGTCCTTTAGTATTCGTCTTATCCGTATTTGTGATATCAAACGTAATTAATAAAAATGCTAATATAAACGTTCGTCCTATCCGTAGCTGACATTTAAGGCGGCAGATATATCCAGCGGTTCGAGAATGTAGGTTAAAAGAGGAAGGAGATATTGCTGGTGCCATTAGTTCCTCAGTATTCGTCTTATCCGTAGCTGTGTTTTAAGATGGACAAACATATCCAACGGGAAGGGTACAGCCAGTGGGGACGAAGGCCGCTGGAATTCCTGCTGCTGCAGGGATGTTGTTGAGGCAGTATTGCAGCATGCAGTTCTTGAAGGTTCCCAGCAGCTGGGCCCGAGTCAGCGGGCTGACGGCGTTGGTGAGGAGGCAGCCGGCATATGTGGAGTCGTAGTAGACGCTGCAACATCTGATGGCGTTGACGAGGAAGGCGTCCACCATACAGGCCGTCGTGTTTGCAATGAGTCTCAGATTAGTGCATTCCACACCGTCTGGGGTTCTGAAAGACAAGAAGTAACTCTTTTCAGGCACTATACATGTATACCTCACACAAATGTCCATTAATGTGTGTTGACCAGTGAAGATCCGGGTTAGAACTGGTCTTCAGCAACTCTTGCTTGTCGTAAAAGGCGACTAATGGGATTGGTGGTCAGGCTCACTGATTTGGTTGACACGTCATCGTATCCCAATTGCGTAGATCGATGCTCATCACTGGATTGTCTGGTTAAGATTCGATTATTTACACACCGCTGTCATACAGCTGGGATATTGCTGAGTGCGGTGTTAAACGAACAACAAACAAAACATTAATGCGTGTTAAGCGATATAAACGTATAAATGGCGTAAATAAACCTGACCGTCTGAATGAAAAAAGAAAATATGTGTCCATTGTATTATCTAAAGTACTTACAAACAATCATCAGTGCCACGCTTTGCTATAGGAACATACCGGACACATTTTTCGACAGGTTAACAATACAATTATCATTGATAATTTATTTTTTCAAATATTTCATTCACATATGCATGAAACGTTTATCTGCAGAAGAAGCATCATAATATCTCGAGTTTTCTGCTCATTTCATAAAATCTTAAAATCATGCACATGTATTTACGTAAATTTCTAACGTGGCGATATTACAAGCATGACGTCACATCAGCGCAAGGACGTCATAAAGTTGGGGAACTAGCTATACACTATGATGAGAATTTGTCGTTTCCTTTTGTTTGAGGGGCGGTGAGGTAGCCTAGTGGTTGAGGCGTTCGCTCGTCACGCCGAAGACCCGGGTTCGATTCCCTACATGATCACAATGTGTGAAGCCCATTTCTGGTGTCCCCTGCCTCGATATTGCTGGAATATTGCAAAGCGGGCATAAAACTAAACTCACTCATTCCTTTTAGTTTGAAATATGAACCCGTTCCTTTCAACGATTTGACTGACCGCATTACACCCCAATAGACCACAGTTTCAGCTGTGCAATGGTTCGAATTATTCAGTCCAGGATGCACAGAGTGTGATATCATCAACATGAACTCACCTAAATCCACAAATATTAGAGATGGTTGGTTGGTTTGTTGCTTAAAGCTGTGCTCAGAAATATTCCAGCTATATGACAACGGTTTGTAAATAATAGAATCTAGCCAGTATCAACATCATGAGCATCGATAAACGCATTTGGGATACCATGACATGTGCCAATCAGGTCAGCAAGCCCGACCACTGATCCCGTTAGCCGCCCCTTACGAAAGGATGGGTTCCTGAACACCAATTGTAACTAGGGCTGCGCAATATAACCGGTTTGCCGGTATTTACCGGGTCAGACATGAAAACGATACGTATTGCGATACGCTGATGGAAAACCGGTATTTTGACATGCAATCGGAAAACTTCGTAACAGTCGGAAATGTTCGGATATGTCCTTGTTTCATTTGTGCCAAATATTATTATAAATCAAGAAGTAACTCGATTATAAGTAGTTTTTTGTTTAAAAATACTTCATGCAATATATTGCAATACATATCGCAATACATGCTTTCGCATCGCAATATATCGCAATATGAAAATTCTCTGCAATACCCACCCCTAATTCTAACCCGGATCTTCACGGGTCACAAATATTAGAGACTAGTTCTCATCATGTTAAGTGTGTGAACCAGGTCAGAATTTCAGCAATATTCCAGGAATATCACTATGGGAGACACCAGAAATGGACTTCACACATCGTACTCATGCGGAGAATGGAACCGATGCCTTCGGCGTGGCGAGCAAACACTTAGGCTACCCGACCTCCCCATTTATTTTGTATAATGAGATCCAAGCAGTGTTTTGTTTTGTATCCCGCTGTATATGAAAGCGGCGTAAAACCCATCCCACCAATCACTCACTCACTCACCTCTCCACAGAACATCTTCACAATAAAGAAAACTTGCATACTTAGTCACTGAAACTTTGCCAACCCACTCACTCACTCACACACTCACTACTCACGCACTCACGCACTCACTCACGCACGCACGCACGCACTCACTCACTCACTCACTCACTCACTCACTCACTACTCACTCACTCACTTACGCACTCACTCACTCACCCCTGATTGTTGGTAAGTTGTCTCAGACTTAGCCCAAAGTCAGCTTCAGCTTGCGTTACACCAGGTACAGCGAGAAATGCGTTGTCGTTAGTCGGATTGCCGTCGCAGTTGGCGCAGAACCCTTCGTTTGTAAAGATGGTGGTGGGTACGGTCGACACCGTTGCTGCCATTAGGGACGGGTCGAAGGCGATGACGGTGTCACATGGTGTAAGCGTAGCTCGGTAGAAACCGTTGAACTGGGAAGACGTCACTACGATGTCTAGGAGTCCAGGTATGGCGTCCAGGACGCCGGGTATAGCAGCTACAACAGGCTGGATGGAGAGAGAAAATGACATCATAAACAGGCATCTACGCTTCCACAACAACATTTGAAAATGAACACCCGTACAAAAGACTGGCACGTAGGATTTAACGAAAAGAAATATACAAACATTATCAAAATGTTACCAGGCTGTAAACAGTCGTCAAAACACTTCAAACGATACGAAACACAATTAAGATACTCGTATAGATGCATCAACATCCATTACTAAATTCGTTATGAATTTCATGGACGCAAAATATTTTTTCCGTTATAATTCTAGAAACCCACTTGTCCCCAAAGTCCACGTTGTTTTAATGAGTTAGTTTGTTTGTGTGTGTGTGTTCTGTAACTAAGCACTCTGCAATATTTGGCAAAGGGTTGTGAATAATCGAGTCTGAACCAGAAAAAACAGTGATCAACAGCATGAGCATCGGTCTACGAAACTGGGATACGATGACATGTGTCAACGAAGTCTAAGAGCCTGATCACCCAATCCCGTTAGTCGCCTTTTACGACACGAGTGTTCTACTGAAAGCCAATTCTAACTACGTGGGTAGATAAAGTTTATTAAAAGTATGAATTATTTTATCATCTGGATTGTGTCCTTTGATTAACGCTCACTCGCTATAATGTATCTACAAATCTACCAAAGCAAGCCAAGGGGTGGTGGGGTAGCCTAGTGTTTAAGGCGTTCGCTCGTCACGCTAAAGACCCGGGTTCGATTCCCCACATGGGTACAATGAGTGAAGCCCATTTTTGTAGTCCCCCGCCATTGAATTGTTGGAATGTTGCTAAAAGCGCCGTAAAACTAAACTCACACCCCCAAAGCAATTGAAAAATATTTTAACTTTATTGAAAAGGATTGACCAGTTATCTGGCTTGATATGAGCTCAGTTTGGTTGAAGATGCAACATGCCAGAAATAGGGACTAAATATGTAAAATATACGTACCGTGGACTGACCTCCTGGCCCCAGGGTGAAGGTCACTACAGTGTTGTCCCTGGAGGCGGTGACTAGGAGCTCCCTGTTGAAGATGCGGAAGGGGAACTGGGGGTTGTTACGGAGCTTGGTGACAGTCTCTACTTGTATGTCACATCCGGTGGCGGAAATAAACCCAGCCAGGTTAAACTGACACGGAAGTACGGTGCGCGTTCTCCCATTGTCGAATTGTCGTGTGTGGGGATCGCCGAAGCTGACGCAGCCGCACTGACCAACTAATAATAATAAACATAAAAATACACTTAACCACATAAAACCTTTTGAAGACCTTACTAAGGCTTCGAATTTGGGTAAATCTGAAATATTACCAATAATCTTCTAATTTTCTGAGGCGTAATAACGTATTTTTTCACATTGTGCATTTTAGGTATTCTTACTGCTGATTTTTCAATTGAAGCAATATGACGTCACAGCGCTAAATTAACGAACAATACGAAATAACGTCATACAGTGTTCATGATATCATAGTTTCATTACACCAACAATAGGCTGCCTTCGATTAAGTATATTTTAGGGTGACATTTCCTACGGGTTTTTTCATTTTCTCTATTACAATTTCAGTGAGGGATAGTATTATGGTAAAGAATAACCAAGTTGAAACGCGAAATTTAAGATCACATGTTCCTAATTCAGGATTGGCTGTGGGGTAGCCTAGTGGTTAAAGCGTTCGCTCGTCACGCGAAAGACCCGGGTTCGATTCCCCACATGGGTGAATGTTTGAAGCCCATTTCTCGTGTTCCCCGCCGCGATATTGGTGGAATATTGCTAAAAGCGGCGTAAAACTAAACTCACTCACTTCTAATTCAGGATTACGTGTATACCATTCATTTGTTGGGACAGATCTATTGTGCATCTGGGCGAATCGTAAGTCTTTAAACACACCTGTTATGCTCGTTACTTACCCGGCACACAAAGAAATCGACCAGAACCGACGTAGCCCGCCGAACAGATACATTCTCCGTTAGTACATCCTGCAAACTCCGCACAAGTGAACTGCCCGCACGGAACTCCCTGACCTGATGTGAAGAGATTCATTGATTGATTGTTGTCTGTACCAGACAATCCAGTGATCAACAACATGAACATATATCTACGTAATTGGTATACGATGACAACCAAGTGTCAACCAAGTCAGCGAACCTGACCAACCAATCCCGTTTGTCCGATAGAGAAACATAGATTCACAAAAGATGGAAACCTAGCCATTTTTTCAAAATCCTACTTTGTTATCAAAATACATACAACCAGTTGGACCTCAGTGAATGACATTCGTGTAACAATAGATATGATATAGGTGAAATGTGCGCATTTAGGGGCGGTGGGGTAGCTGACTTGTTCGGTAAACGTTCGCTCGTCACGCCGAAGGCCCGGGTTCGATTCCCAACATTGTGTGGAGCCCATTTCTGGCGTTGTTTCGATCCGACCAAACCTTAATACTATCCACTGAATGCCATGCCATGCTCCATGAACCGTAATACTAGTAAGTACTATCTTTTAACATCTTTTCTTACGATGGCATCGATCCATCAACCTGTTCTCCAGATTCCACGGGGGTAACTACCAAACAGCTAAAAGACAAACTTGCCATACACTGATACACGTTATTCCTGACTTTACTGGAATTGCCCGTTTTCTAAAATACCCTGCCGTCTCTTGACATTGCAGATCTTGTAACCAGACACTGACATCTTTCGGAATTGCAGATGTTAGAACCATAAAATGACGTATCTAGAAATTGCAAGTGTTATAATCTTACACCGACGTCTTCAGAAACCGTACCATTATCATACATGACATGACCCTCCAGAAGATGTATATACAAACGAGTCCGGTAATTCCGCGCGTCCGGTAATGCAATAGCGTACTTCCGTATCAAGGTAAACATCGTCTGCTACCACATTTACGCTTGAAATCGGGACATTTCTACAAGGGACTGGCTTTTAATCACTAAAGGTAAGTAAATGACAGTATTTGACAGATAAATTGACAGTTCTTCATTATTCATAATTGGATTTAATATGAAACACTCTTCCTTACATTGATGAAGTGATTTTTGATGATATTCTGGCCCTAATACGCTTCTATACTTAGGATCTCAAGCCGGATGTTATGAGCAGCAATTGCTGCGCAGAGTTACCGGACAGCAAGCGATGTTGTCGGAACGCCGTATAGGTCAACCGTAAGGCATAATGCAACGTTAGAATCTTATAGTCTTCAATATAATATGATGCATACCAGCATGTTTAGTCACGTAAACCACAAAAAATAAGAGACGTTAGTTGCCGTGTTGCGATCGATGTGCTTAGGTGCGCGGAATCACCGGACGGCATTGTATACATACTTTGCTTCCGTATTTTTGCTCAGTCTGAATTCAGTTCCTTACGATTGTTATATAACGAAACTAAAGATTGTATGTCCAGTTTTTGCCAGTACAAGCATTGTACACTAGACGATGTAAACAGCAAGGATCGGTTTTACGAACAATAATAGTGCATTTCTATGGCGCTATTTCCAAAGCGCACAATCTGATCATTGTTAATCCGGATAACCCAAGCTGCCTGTGAGGCGCTAGAAGGTAAATAGTCACATGAATTATCTCACCGGGTACCCATTTTCTGCTGGGTGAACAGAGCCAAAACAAATTCACTTGCTAAGGTGAGACCACGTGTGTCACATGTGCTTCGTTGAGTGGCAGGACCGAAGTCCTAGAAACTCTCAGGAGTCAAGCTGCCAAACACGGGCCACCCATCCGAGGACTCTCTGTGCCCAACGTTGCTTAACTTCAACTGATTTGTGACCTGCGCTCTATGCCCAGGACCACACAGCACCACTAATGTGGTTCACAAAAGACGTAATTCAAAATTAGGACATCGCTTTCAACATGATCAGCAAACGCAATGAGGTGTCACTAAATTGTCTGGTACAGAAATGGTTGTTCGTACGCCATGTTCAAACAAACAAATATTCTTTTAAGCAAATTGCATAAGTGGAGAAAGCTACCGAGACAGTGGAACATGGTTAACATGTCAGTAGCATAATTTATCATAGCTGCTTGTCTGCATCCATTAATTATGATGACCTTTGGGCGGTGGGGTAGCCTAGTGGTTAAAGCGTCCGCTCGTCACGCCGAAGACCCGGGTTCGATTCCCACATGGGTACAATTTGTGAAGCCCATTTCTGGTGTCCCCGCCGTGATATTGCTGGAATATTGCTAAAAATGGCGTAAAACCATACTCACTCACTCAGTATGATGACCTTTACGCTCAGTGGAATCTGTTACGGCACTTGAAACAGCCTGCATGTTCTACGACCTTAACGTTACAGTATAGAAACAACAGACTGGGTCAACTTCCTGGAACATCCATAGATCGTACCAGCATACACACTAACATACTAGGACTGTGTATTGGCAAATAAATTGTACTGCAATATATTGCGATTCAAGTACCCGTATTGCGATACATTGGGAGCTTAAGTGTTTGACAGTAAGTGACACTAATTGTACATGTCGATCCTATTTTCTACAGTCCAAGACCCTAAACATATAATGTTATGGTTCTGATAACAGCAATCTCAAAAATTGTATAGTCATTCTATTTTCTGTTATTATTATACAATATATAGTATTACAGTATGCCGTTTGTCATTGAATAATGAAGTAAAATATCTGTTGTATATGAAAGTCTGTGTAGATATTAGTGTTGGGAATTGGTTGAAATCTCACAATTGATGATTGCTTCATTACCAACGAACAATCATCGAAAAAAATTGGTTAGCGTCATTTTTCAGATTTTCCTATCCAGGTTGTTATTCCAGATAGGTACAACATGATGCAACTTACTACTTTAAAGTGATGACTAATATATCATGAACATAAACTTCCTTGAGTCTTAGAGAAACATTCAGTCATGGCTTTTCAGTTAGTAAAGTGAGTTTTCTAAGAATTAAACACGTTTTCAGGCCCTGACAAGTTCCAAAATCGTTTATGTTCGATTATGAGAAATTGTGATCGATTGCTTGGTCGTTTGGTCACTGCGACCAATCATCGATTATTTCAATTAATCGGAACACCACTAGTAGATATTAATTTAAACCATAAAGATGATCACAAAAACGTCATATGTTCTTTACCCAATATACCGGTTCTGAGAAAAAATATTGCAATGCGTATCGTTTGAAAAGCGTATTGCGATATATACCGGTATACCGGTAATACCGTGCAGTCCTATAACATACCAACTCATAACGCTAAACAATGCATTTGGAACTCCCATCAAATAGACTGGCAAATTCAGCATCAGTTTCAGTACCATCGATTTTGTAACTACAATGGACACACAGAATGGTTCTTACCACAGCAAACCGAAACCAACGCCACAAACGAGATGCTGAACAGGACAAGGTGTGAAGTGTTCATCTTGAGGAGTTTTCATATGAATGTTTCTGGCCACGGTTTTACCGGTATATATGCATTAAGTCCAGATGGTGTTGGGATATTTGTTATTGTCAACTAAGCTGGGGCGAGAGCTCTTTGCAGCAGCTGCTTCAGAGGTACACCATCTGGCTTAATCACCTAAGCATGTAATAATCTTCATTATGACTTTACTCCGTTGTTTTAACGCTAATTGTTATTGACCGCAAGGTCAAATGCTTAAATAGTTTACATTGATTGGCGCGTCCAAGGTCATTCATACCTCTCAGCTTGGCAGTCAAGATTCTACGGATTAAGGTATGCATGTTAATCATAATTGACTGGCAGTCTATTTTCGTTTTGATCCTTTCTTGTTGGTGATATGTTTTAAAAAATCATTCATCTATTTGAAGTTAATACATTTGTTAGAGTGAGTTAGTGAGTGAGTAAGTTTGGTTTTACGCCGCTTTTTAGCAATATTCCAGCAATATCACGGCGGGGGACACCAGAAATGGGCTTCACACATTGTACCCATGTGGGGAATCGAACCCGGGTCTTCGGCGTGACGAGCAAACGCTTTAACCACTAGGCTACCCCACCGCCCCTACATTTGTTAAAGAATGGGAGAGGCAACGGTTTTTCAAAGCCCACAATATAAAGGCATAAAAAACTTACATAGCACTTACTGAGCATATAAATAATAACGAGCAATTTTTAGAAAATGTTAAGCAAGGGATGATAATTGTTCCTGGGGAAAAGGGTAAAAAAATACTAATAAAATGTTGGCTTCTGTCAGTTATTCTCTTTATCATTTCATTACGTCATAAAACAGAAAGTTCGACAAGCTATTACATATACAGAGGGTGTGCGGCCTTGCCTCAATCATCTCACATTACGAGACCAGCAGTTCGCTTTTCCCCCGAGTGCTCAGGCTAGGCCTGTTTTGACCACTGTTGAAGCCAGGTGAAGAGAATATTATCATCACTGTCTTTATTGCTATAGTCACTACTTTTACATTATATGGACATATACTTGTACTGCCACACTGTTTCGTAATTGTAATTATTTTGCTGTGATTTGTATTCATTTTTAAACTAGAGGTGGTGGAGTAGCCTAGTGGTAAACGCGTTCGCTCGGCACGCTGAAGGCCCGGGTTCGAAAAACCCAACTCACTCACTCACTGGTATTCACACTTAGGTAATATTCCAATTTTATTGTTAATTATATCACATATTTTTGTTGGTTTCGCACGGAGTTCTTTCAGCGACTTTTTCCTGTCAATGTATATTTCAACAGGTAAAACTGTTGAAAATGTCTAGGTATCGCACTGTCGACCTTTGGCCAAAATGCAACAAGTACTTACAGCACCAGATTATTTTTATGGTTTAAACTGAAATCTACACAGACTTTCATTCACAACAAATGTTTTCCGTTGTTATTCAATGACAAAACGGCATACTGTAATACTATAAATTGTACAAAGAAGAAAATAGAATCATTGACTATGCAACATAATTTTGAGATTGCTGTAATTATCAGAACCATAACATGTGTTTCGGGACATTAATGTAGAAAATAGGATCGACATGTACAATCAGTGCCACTCATTGTAGTGGTGGTCCGATTAATTGAAATAATCGAAGATTGGTCGCAGTGACTAAACGACTAAGCAATCGATCATGTTTTCTCATAATCGATCACAAACAATTCTGGAACACTTTGTTTTCATAAACAATATTTTTCACGTGGTTGGTTTTGTCTGTTACATTTCATAGGCACTACAAGCTCGTTTCAAGTCATGATTGAATTTATCTTAAAGACTCCAAACATTTATGTTCCTGACATACTAGTCATTCTTTAAAGAAGTGAAATCTTGCCCAAAACACCCCAAAAGAACTACATGTTTTTTCATTATTTTTATGTGCATTAACAGATTTCATTAATGACGCTAACCAATTTTTTTCGATGATTGATTGATTGTAATAAACCATAAGAGTAAGAAAGTTTATGGATAACAACTTCTTTAATATATATGATGCGACGTTTCGGTATGGATTCTTATACCGTTGTCAAGCAAGAGTGAAGTACTACAGCACAGAACAGACTTATATACATGAACAGGGATTAAGTAATAACAACATGTAGGAATGAATCAGGGGGATTAACAACAACAACAAGGCACGGTGGCAATAATGTAGTGACAATGGGAAGCCAATGGTGGTGGAGGTAGAAACAGAATATACATGCTGATGAGATTAATTAACAATGATAGCTGAA